TACTAATTGGAACATTCTACACGTTGAGCTGCGTGAAGTTGAGGACTTTCCTTTTTCCTTGTTTCCCTGGGCTGAAGTGCCTACGGACTGGCTTGTGGTTGATACAAGAGCGAGCGCTCTATTTTTAACCATTTTTCCACTTTGTGAAAGAGTCCCTTTTCCACTCAAGTTAAATCTGAACTGCTTTCAATTGTTTTTGCCAGAGGAGGTGGAAATTGGTTCCAGCAGAGATGTTTCCTGTGAATCTAAAGATTTCGAGTGCTGTTGTATTTTAATCTATTAGTCCCAGCATATTATCCATGAACCAGAGCACCTCCATCAAAGGCACTGCACTTAAACCTGGTCTCCCTCGTGACTTTGAATTTCAGAAATCCCCAGTCTCTCTTCTGAGTGCACACACTATATTTGAGCCTCATTCTGCTTTGAAAAAAAAAACAACCCCCCCCAAAAAAACCCCAAAAACCTCTCCTTCTTTTAAAACACTAGAATTATTAAATTACTGGAAAAGTTATAAGTGTTCCGTACTTTTATTTCCCCATAAATGGGTCCGAGACCCATCTCTCTCCAGTCCGATCTAATTAGAGTTTGCATGAGGGTTAGATAACAGGAAGTACTGCAAAGCCATTGCCATTCTCCTTTTCCTCCTAATGGGAACCATCTGAAACTAGCCCAGCGCACGCGTTTCAACATCAAACACTTGTGAGCCAAGTGAACACATCTGTCGGAGTGTTCCAGATGCAAAGCGGGTCTGGATGGGTGCCTCTGATGTCTGAACCCGACGCAGCCAGTGGTCACTGCCCCGAGATGAGCTGCTCAGCCCGTCCCGCTGGATTCCGTCCTTCCCCTGCTGAAGAAACTCAGATTCCCAATCCACTGGGACCACTGCCACCTGGCAGGGGCGCTTCCTGCCCTGAAACCCAAAGGAAGCCGTTTTGGCCAATTGACTGTAATTGTGTTGAGTGGCACCCTTTTATGTAGTGGGGAGATTATCTCATATCATCTGGTACCTATTTTTTACAGTCAGGGAATGACACTGGGGTATTGATTTATCACCTATGTGTGCGGGAGTATAGACGGCTCACTTATTCATCCTGGGGCAGATGGGGGCAGGGGCGTGTGGGCCAGGTGAGCGCCAGGAGGCCCGAGGATGTTGGGGGTCGAAGCCAGGAGACTCAGCAGAGCCCACTCCCAAGCCCGCTGCTGCCGGCCAGCGCAGGTCCCGAGCCAGCGCGGGATTTCTTGTTCCTGGGGGAGAGAGATCGCAGGTTTCACACCAGTGTCTGGGCACTCGCCATCCTGACAGCTACAGCGCATCCTTTTCTACCACGGCCGAGGGGTACTAGTGGAAGGAACAAGTCACGTTCCACGTGTGGTGTGAGAAGAACACCCTCTATTTCCGTGGTTGAATTTCCCCTCCTTGTTGTGGAACTAAGGTATTTTATTCTTACAGGGCTGCTCCTGGGACTGTGGAAGAGCACTCCTCTCTCTCCATTCATTCTCTCTCTCTGTGTTACCGATGTTTACCGTATAGCCCACCCTGCTGGCCCTGGGAAGAGCCATGTGATCAGGTCGTGGTCCCTCGGGGCGTTGGAACGCTGGCAGGGAGATGCTGGCCAAGATGGTCATTAATGACCCTTGGTGGTACCAGAGGGGTAGGCAGAGCAGCTGTGGTGGGCTCAGGAGGGCTCGGCTGACGCAGGGGGCAGAACCAGAGATTTCCTGATAGAGTACATTCGAGGCTGCGTCCTGAAGGGACAGATGGGAAGAAAGCCAAAGAAGTGGACGCAAGTGGTGTCCTAGGAAGGGGCAGGAGACTGCAGTCCAGATCCTGACAGAATCCCGAGGGAAAGGGTTGCAGTGGGAAGGGTCTGCATGGTGGCCGCAGGAGAGAGCCAGGGCGGGTCGGGCTGGGGCCGCGAGTGGAGGGAACTCGGGTGCGCAGCAAGGAGCTGGTTAGTGAGAGACCCGAGTTAAGTAGTGGGCAGTTTGCACCGGGCCCCTGCTGGGGGGAGAGGGGGGGAGACGCTCAGGAGACTCACTGGTGCCCAGGCCCTGAGGACGCCAGCGCAGGCCTTGTTGGGAATGATCTGCGTGGCGGCTCTTCAAGGACTTGTCTGGAGCTGTGCATGAGGGTGGTCACACTGCCTCTGCCCCACCACCCTCCAGAGTGGCCAGGCGACAGAACGTCAGTGTCCTCCCGAAGCCGAGAGGCCCCGGGAGAGGAAGGCTCACCTGGGGACACTCGGTCCGGTCTTGGGTGCTGTTGGTGCCAGAACACGTGTTCTTTCCTCTCCTTATCCCCTCCCAGAAGAGGGAACTTTCTCAGGAATCCTTCTGCTTATAGCTTGAATTATTTTCACCACCTGAAGGACATTCAGCAATAGTACATTCTATTTTTGAAAATGATACAGGTATAAAACTAATGTTTTTCACCTATTGGGAACAAATTTCAGGACCGAGCCACTTAAGCTCCTTTTACATAGCCAAGCTGAAGTTCAGAAAGGAATTTTTCCCCTAAATATCTTTGTCTTGAAGGATAGCAAGCGTCTTTGATATGTTTGGATAAGAAATAATGCAACAAAGACATATTGTTCTGATTTCATACCTCAGGGACTATGAAAAAGAACACTAGTTTACTCTTACATTTGTAAACTAAAAAAATAGGTTTAAATTATGCTTCCCTAAGTAGTTTCTGTTTAGGTACATACGTCCTGTTTATATAGGAATGCATATGTGTATAACATGTTAGTTTTCTTCCTACACACACACACACACTCTCTCTCTCTCTCTCTCTCTCTGTTCTCCTCTTTCCCGGTGTGGAGATGGGGAGAGGGATGCCCCGTGGGGACAGCCACGGGAGAAGACCCAGGATGAAACAGGGAGGGGTCAGGAGATGGGAGTGGGGAGGGGAGTGAGGGAACCTGAGAGGGTGACGGTCACCATAATGGAACCCCCCGGGAGCTGGTAGCACCTAGTGAAGGTGGCTCTGTCTGGCTCCAATACAAAGTGCTCTCAAGAGCTGTTGTTTCTGAATGTCTGGGAGCAGCGTCAAGGCTTGCCTGCTCTTTCGATAAGTAAATGGAGTCTTTGGCTGACCCCGAAGAACAGCTAATCGGGTTGTGGTGGGGATTTAGTTGTGGCTACAACTGGAAGTCGGTTGCTCTGGTTGCACCCACAGTCTCGCCCTGCTTGGTGGAAGAATTGGAGACCCCCGCGTGAGTTCCACGTTGGAGGAATTCACCGCCCTTTCCAAGTGCTGGTGCTAGGAATGTTGTTGGACCGGGGGGGGTCGAAGATATTTGAACTCGCTCTCTCACAGACACGGGTCTCAGACATGAGCCTAGGAGAAAAACGAATTCAAATTGAACTTGGAGATGGTGGAAGGAGCGTACACATTTTCTTATATGCACGCCCACTGCCTCACACAGTTCTTGGGATTTCTTCTGTGCTTCTGCAGGGCCCCCATATCTTTTCCTGCTTGAGTGGTGTGGTTCTCACAGGGGTCATTCTGTAAACCTCCTCTGTCAGCATGCAAGACAACTCTCCCGTCCGCCCTCCTTGCCTTTACCGCTGCCACCCTGGTCATGGTGATCGGGTGTAGCTTCCTAGGAGGGGTCTTCTCTCCAAAACCCACTGAGGACCTCGTGGGTCTTGAACACCTAGTTTCGAGCAGTGTCTGATGAGTGTGGCTCACCCTTTGCTTGCTCCGTTGAGCAGCTGCCCGACAGCACGTTCTGTGATAACACCCGTTCTCTCTCTCCTGCTGTCCAGCCTGCCGCCGCGACTCTTAAAGTGGAGACAGACAGGGCAAGTACGGGGCCTGCTTGCTAGGCAGGCGGGCAGGCCTTGAGTAAATGGTACTGCTTTTTAAATTGAGTTTTTATTTATCGATTTATTTTTAGTCTTTGGTAGAAGCCAGAACTGGTTCACATACGTGGGTGTAACTGTCTTCCTTTTCCGAACTTCACTTTGATGGATGACTCCATACTGACTGACGTGTTCCCTGAAGGTCTCCTAACAAACGACTCTTCTCTTCCCCCTTCCCCTGCCCGCCTTGTAGACACAGAGATGGAGGTATGTTTATATACCTCCGTGTCAGCTTTATTGAGATGCAGTTCATACACCATACGACTCCGACATGACAGTGTACAATTTCGTAGCTCTGAGTGTAATCACAGACATGTGGAGCCACGGTCACAGTCGATTTTGGAACGTCCCCTCACCCCAAAGGGAAACCCCGCACTCATTAGCAGCTACTCCCCGCTTCTCTCCAACCGCTCCCCACCAGCCTTAGCCGACTGCCACTCGGCTTCCGGTCTCTGAGGATTTGCCCATGGCGAGCATTTTATATAAGTGGAATTGTGTGTATATATACTATGTCGGTCGTTGGGACTGGCTTCCTCCACGGCAGCGTGTTTCCGAGGTTCAGCCACGTATCAGCACCTCGTGTCCTTTTACTGCCAGCTGCCATTTCCCTGTGTGGTTGTGTCGCATTTTACTCACTCGTCAGTTGGTGGACATTTGGGAAAGACCCACTTTTTTGCCGTTACGAATAGTGCGGCCACGGACGGTTATGCACAAGTTAGTGGGTGAACACACGTTTCATTTCTCTCGGGTATGCGTCTAAGGAGTGCAATTGTTAAACAATATGGTAAGTCTTTGCTTAACCTTTTGGGAAACTGCCAGACTGGTTTTCAAAGTGGTGGCACTGTTTTACATTCCTTTCAGTGGTATAGGAGAGTTCTGGTTCGTCCACACTCTTGTCAACACTTGTTATTATCCATCTTTTTTATTTTGGCCATCCTAGCGGGTGTGAATTGATGCCTCATTGGGATTTGGATATGCCTTTCCCTAGTGGCTAATCACGCGAGAATCTTTTCACATGAAAAGATTCTTGTTGGCCATTTGTCTGTTTTCTTTGGAGAAGTGTCTGTTTAGATCCTTAGCCCTTTTTAAATTAATTCGTCTTCCTTTCTGTTCTTTTAATTTTACCTGCGCAGGATGCTGATATGCTAACTGGCGATGAGCAAGCATGGAAAGAAGTTCGAGAATCCTTGAAAAAAATCGAAGAACTGAAGGCACAGTGGAGTATCCTTTTCACCCGTGGATGGAGTTGTGCTGTCGGGATTGCTTCCTTATCGGTTGAAGCCTGGTGTCAGGCCAAGTCAGGGGTCTGATCCCTGCAGGGGGCTCCGTTCTGTGTCACGGCCCAGTAACAGTAGGTCAGTGAGTAGAAGTCTTTTATGTGTAAAAGGTAGCTGATTTCTGGGCTCCCTTTCTCTCATAACCCACAACTCTAGGAAAGAATAGCTTAGAATCCTTACATTTCAACGTCGTTGGCCCTCAGAGCTAGAAGCTTCATATTAAACCAACCATGACTACAATGGTAATGGGAGTTGCTGGACATTAAATACTCTCAGCACAAACAGGACCATGAGTAGGTGGCTCAAAGCTCCGTGTGAGGACGGATCACTCAGGATGGAGGTCAGAGTGCACAACAGATTCCCAAGTCAGGGACGGGGTTTCTACAGGCAGAGGCTGAGAGGGGGCTCACTTCCTGCGGAGAAGTTTACTTGAGCAAAAATGTGACAAAGGGGAACCACAAGGTAAGAAGAAACAGACCAAGGCCGACAGCAAAGATTACAGAAGGTCACTCACAGGCCTTGGGGAAGGGGTGTCCCCGGCACAAAGAAAATCTGCAGGTGAGGTTTCTGATCTGTAGACACAATTATTCAAAGGTTGTAAAGGAGAGGAGAGGTAGTTAGAGAAAGAAGCAATTTCTGGACTCTGTAGCCTGGTGACATTTGGGGGCATTTCGGGGTGTGTGTGACCGGGATTGGGCACTAAAGGGACGCAGAAGGAAGCCGAGATGGCCAGGGTGCGGCGCGGGCGCCACACGTGAGTCCGTGGAATCGCAGCTTCCTTTGGGGAAGTTTGTGGTTTGCAGAAGGAGTTTTGAAAAGGAAAGAAACAAGGCAAGACATTTCTGCCAGACACTAGCATGACCATACGTCTCACTAAATGGTCAAACGGCTGCCCTGGAAAAAATGATGCTGACTGGACGACTGTCACTCTGAGCGCTTGGTCCTCACCTCAGGCCCCTTCCACCGTTGATTCTGCACCCGAGTGAGGATCCGGAGCACAGGGTCCTCAGATTCCCAAATGCGTTTCAGTGGGGAGGGTGGCTCAGGTCAGATGGTGGAATCAAGAGCTCAGAGGACCCTGCAGGCTTGAAATATTCCTGAGTCCGAAAGGATGGAATCCCAGCAGAGGGTATAGAAAACCTTCTTGGGGGGTGAAAAGCTCAACTGTATAAATATACACAAAGGTAGCCACAGAACAGAGGAAAGGATTTTAGGGTTTCAGTAAACAACAAATCCTAATCAAATTTCAGAGTATAATTTAACCCCCTGAAAAGACCTCTGTGACCCTGGGCTGCATTAATAGAAATGGAGAGTAGGGAATGAGAAAGGCGATATTTTTATCGTGTGTGGGACTTTTTATTCAGTTTGGGATGAGACATACCAAGAGGGATAGAGAAACACTGAAATAAGTTTGGAGGTGTGGAACCAGAATCCAAATGGCATTTGACACCTGTCTATTGACAGGATTGCGGATATTGGGAAAATGGCCAAATCAATGAGCTGTCACATGGCAGAGGGACACATAAACTTGTCTTGCAGGGTCCCAGCGGCAGTATTAGGACCCATGGGTAACCCAGCAACATTGAACCTCAACTGGACGAGGCTTTACTGAGCATCGACTCCATGCCAGGGGCCTTGCCAGTTAGGAAACATGTAAATTAATACATATTTTGGTGAAGTGCAGGCACAGCTCACTTGATTGCACTTCGCTCAACTACGCATCACTGATGTTGCACCTTTTACAAACCGAAGGTGAGACCTTGCACCAGCAAAGAGTACGGTGTCCCCAGCTGGTCTGGAACCAAACCTCCAGCTCTGCGAGGTCTGCCTGTGCGCACTCATGGGGCATCAGACGCACGGCAGTCGTCTCCTCGACTTGGGGAGGGTAAAGCAGGTCCCACGGCGGACACAGCCACTGAGCTGTGACTGGGGGGACTCTTCGGAGCTCACTGGGCAGCTCAGTGAGGAAGGTGAGCCCGAGGACGTCACCTGTGCAGACAGCGTGACGTAATGTGCAGGAGCACGCTGTTGAGAAATTGCGTTGTTCGGTCTGAGAGGTGGGGCAGTGGCCAGGCCTTCCATGCCATGCATTTGACTTCGTGGGTGACAGGGTCGTCGGAGGGCTTTTAAAAAACGGAGTAAGATGTTTAGGTGAGGGAAAGCCCTGTGGTCTGACGGGCTTTGTCTCAAGTTGCTAATTAATTCCCAGGTGAATTCGCTTTGGCCCCTAATCCTCTTCTGGTCATTGAAAGGGTTTTCAGGAGAAAAGGTGTCTGTTCTGTCCGCTGCTCGTCCGTTCTCTTCGGGCAGGCTCGTCCACTCTGTGGAGGCCCGGAGCTCACCTCCCCGCTGAGTGGAACCAGTTGAAGTAAGCACCGAGCTAATGCCAGTGACTAAATTTTTAAGCAAACACACACCGGCGTTGGCTTGGGGGAAAAGCCTCTTAGTTAAAATGATTCCATTTTTTGGCTCACTGGGGTGTTTTGCAGGGGAGGCCGGCCTCGACTGCCAGGAGACGGGTGCCAGTGTTGCGCAGGGAGGCTGGCACGCGGCCCCTTCCAGCTTGCAGGGGATAAAGCAGATGTGTTCCTATCCGGGGCTGCAGAGCATCTCGTCTGGTCTTGCTTCCAAGGCTTGTCAACTGCAAACCTCTTTCACGTGAGCTGGAGCATGTACAAGTGGACGGGCGGCTAAGAACGGAGGTCACACAACACGACACTCAGACGGGATGCAGAGCCTCGCCACAGATGCGTCCAGCCTCGTGTGAGAGGCGGTCATCTCCCCCGACAGCTCGTCAAGTGTGTGCTGCTGGAAAGAAGGGCCGCAGAGGTTAGCCCGACAATCTGTCACAAAGTCAGAGCACGGCCTCCAATACTGACCTCTGGGAGGTTCGTTCAGCGCACTGGACACATATGTGGCAGATGAGTACAAAAGAAAGTGGCCAATGCACTGGTCTTCAATCAGTGTACCTTTTCTAAGACCAGAGTCAACTCCTCCGAGACATGAGTCATCCTAAAATCGGAGAGCACGGTTGTATGAGAAATGGGATCCAATGGCCCTCGGCTGTGTGGGGTGGGCGCTGAAATCCCACCGGAGGAAGCGTGCCTTTGGGGTCTGGCGTCACGTCTCCAGGAGGCCCCCACGGAAAGGAAAATAGATTTCCTGTGAGGGTTAGAGACATTAGTCCCCGCTCCCACAGGTGGCCCGATCGGTTGACTGAAAGTGTTTGCTGATGCTTTGGAAAGCACTGCCCTGAGAGTCCGGATGCCGGGGCAGGCGGGTTGTGCTGGAGGACCAGGGTGGGGGTGGGGGGAGTGGGGGGTGGAGGAGCCTCGGGGCGCCCTCAGTTCAGGGCTATGCTAGGGCCCCGATGAAGAGGCTTTGAGATGGGGGCTGCAGGGACAGTGAGGAGGCTGGCTTGTGCGGGCGTGGGGAGGGGCGCGGGTGGATGGATAAAATTCGATCGAACTCAGCCCACTGAACCGTTTTCCTTAAGCTTCGCCACACTCAGGGGCACGTGAAGGAAGGAGAAAGGCACTCATTTTGGTGTGTGTGTGTTCTGTGCCTCACACTAATGTCCCACTGTGTGCCTGGCTCACAGCGGAACACGTAAAGGATATTTTTCATTTTACACTCAGTTTATTTATCCTTTGCTGTGACATTAGTTAGGCATTTTTATTTCTGGCCTGCCTCAGAGCGCCCAGGAGTGCTTGCTCAGAACCTCAAGTGGGGCAGATGGCGAAACCAGCCTGGGTTTACATCCAGCTTTATCCACAGTCCAAGGTTCCGCCATTTCTGTGATGTCCGAAGTCAGCGAACCTTTCACCTTAGAGGAATTCTGACACCTGAATGCAGATGACTTTGCAGCAACACAGATTGAAGGAGGGGCAGAAGGACGGCCTGCCCCCTCCCACCACCTCCTTGGCCTCCAGCTCCCCTAACACTGTGCAGAAAAGCAACCACACTAGGTCCTCAGGTGCCCGCAGTCTCAACTCAGTCTCTGCTTGTGGGGTAACTCATCTCAGGGGGATTCAAGGCACACCCCGTACACCACGTCCTTAGTTCCCTGCCTGTGTCTGTAAGAGGACAAGTTACAGCCATCCCGGACAGTGAGGTCACCCCAAGGTTCATGAGAGTTAAGTTCTGGTTAATCAGAAAGTCAGAGTTGCTCAGAAGTGGGTATGGGGTTTTCTCTCCATCCTTTTTAAGGCATTGTTGCCCCCTGCTCGTGCTGAGGTTTAAAGAGAATACGTTTAGGAACATGAAGAAAGAATGGTTCTTTGGAAGCCCGAACCCCGCCGAGCTGCGGCTGGAAGCTGCTCTGTCGATGTAAACAGCTCACTTCTCCGGGATGCCACTTAGACGGTTTTGTCTCGAGCGTGTTTTCAGGCAGCTCATCTGCACAGTGTCACGCGTCGGCCTTCCCTCCTGGGCCTGGGAGCTCGCCAGCCTCCTGGAGAATCTCCTTTCACATTGGTTTGTGTCTCGGTGAGGTTGATGAGTCCTTAACTAAGGTTAATAACAGAGTGGGAGCAGGTTCTGGCCATGTGCCAGGCGATCCTGAGTAGCAACGCCGAACGGCTCCCCGATATCAACATCTACCAGCTGAAGGTGCTGGACTGCGCCATGGACGCCTGCATCCACCTGGGGCTGCTGGAGGAGGCCCTGTTCTACGGCCTCCGGACCATGGAGCCGTACAGGTACGTGCACAGGGGAGGCTCAGTGGAGGCTGCAGTGCCTTGGCTCGGGGCAAAGGATGGACATCGTGAAGTCGTTCTGATCACTACTTTCTACTGCGAGTCCCATCCAATTCTCGGTCAGTTGCAGAGCCAAACCTTGTTCTGTTCGCTCTTTCATGCCATCGTTTATGCGTTTGTCCATCACTGGTCAAGTCGCTTCTGTGTGTCTAGCACTGTGCGTCAGCAGAAACTGTGAGATGCCCTCTCAATGTGGGGGTGCTGATCCCACTGGGGGGTGCTGTTCACGGCAGCAGGAGCAAGCACAGTGCCCTGGGCGAGCCGGAGAGGCACACACGTGCAGACTCCGCTTGGGGAGGCTGTATCATCAGCCTCAGCTGATCGAGGTGAGGGGGGTGGTCCGGTGTGGGGTCCTCGATCTGGCACACAGTGATGATGGTGTCTTCCATCCGTCAGGGCTTTGTGAGTCCCAGGGTGTCTTCACTCGAATCCTTTTACCTCATGGCCACCTTAGACCCGAGCAGGAGAGCAGGGAGACAGCCTGCTGTGACATGGCATTGAATCAGGTGACGGAACTGTTGGTTATTCATTGTCTCTCGTTTGGCCTCAGTCCCGCAGACCAGTGGGTGTTTTGTCCCTCGCTGTTCTGTGAACCCAGAGCTTTGGAGGTGTAGGGGCCTGGTGCTGACAGTCTCGTGCTGGTGGGTGTGGGACCCTGGTGTGCAGTGAGCAAGAATGTGTGTGGAAGTTGAGACGGATCAGTCCAAGGGAGAGGGTGCAGAGACGCACGTAATAACCATCTCCAGCACAGAACGAGGTCATTCGCTGCTCAGAAGGTGCCCCAAAGTGTCTGGGATCCAGGGAGTTTGTGGGAGGTTCCCGGAGAGCAGGGGACCCCTTCTGGGTACCTCTGAGGACCATGCAAGTGGGATGACAGCTGCGAGAGGCCAGGCAGTGGGAGAACCCAGGCCTGAGTCTGTGCGGCATGGGGCAACAGGCAGGGGAGTGAGTCTAAGGGCGGGGAGGAGGGGGTGGGACGCAGAGCCCAGCCTACTGCCTGTCCCCACTTGAGAAAGAGCTTCAGGAGATGACTGACAAGGGGAGGTGACCAGGATCAACAGCCCATCTAGAGTCTAGGATATTATCTAGTCCAGGCAAAGGGGTCAGGAAGCCAGGCCTGGTCCGGGGGCATAGTGCCAAAGGCCCCACCCGCCAGGTGGATGGCAGGGGTTTGCAGGCCAGCCATGGCCCCAGGGCCCCCCTGAGGGGCTTGCAGAACTTCTGTAGGTGGCTTCTTCCGCTGCCTTGTGGTTGAACAGCTTTGGAATTCAGACTGTGAGTCAGCTTTCATCAAACTTGTAAGAGGTGGCCTCGAGGGCCAAGACTGCAGACTTTCCCATGATTCTAACGTGTGTGTTCCATATGGCGAAACTTGTGGCTTTGCAGAAAATATGAACTGAATGCAGAGATAAGGCTTCACCCTCCAAGCCTTTGTGTTGCAATGAGAGGCAGGTGGGGGGACGGTTGGTGCTCCCTCTCTGAACTCCGGGGCTTGGTCCCAGGAAGCCAGACCGTAGGCTGCCTGCCGGGTGAGGGATGAATTCCAGCCAGGAGATGCGGACTGAGAAGATGCTCCCATCTCCAGCGCCCCAGCAGCACCAATGCTGCCTGCGCCATCCTCCCCTCCCTCTGACACCCAGGCTGCCTCCGAGTGGAGAAGCTTAAAGTTGGTCCTCAGGGAGGGCCACACACCTTCGAGGGTGCTGCTGCTGCCCAGGTTTGAATCCTCTTCCGCACACCTACCAAGGAAGGCTTCTTTGAAGGACTCACTTAGCTCTTAATTAAATGGAAGCTTTACTGACTTCACCTTGCGTCAAGCCCCGGCAGTTGGCAGGTCACACTCTCCGTACTGAACCCTCTCGTCTGCCACTGGCTGAGGAGTCTCCACGTCTCCCGCGTTTCCCACCCCTGGAGCTTGTCAGGAGGGCGCTCCGTGGTGGTCTCCGCTTCGGGAAGCCCAGCCTGCATCCGTCCCCTCCCCATGGGCGGCATCCGAGTTGTTTGCCTGCAAAGGTGCAGCAGAGGAAAGGAAACTACTTTAATTCAGAACCGACAAAGCGGAGAGAAAGGAGAAGCCGTGTCCTTCAGCCAAGGACACGGGCAGTTAGCTAGGCATGAGTCCCCGAGGGGTGAGTGGACTGCCACCGCCCTGACAGTTCTGCAGTGTCAATACACTGTTTGCAGCAGCCAGAGGGAGGTCAGGCGTCTCCTGGTGATTTTGTCCAAACCACCGACACTGTCTTTGTCCAACACACACAGCTGTGTTGTCTTCAGCTCCTTTCCTTCTCCTCAGTTATTTAATACTTCTACTCAAGTTCTCTTCATGTTGAGAAGACAACACAGCATTAAGTTCTTCGTGTGTCCTAAACCAAGTGGCAGTTAATTCACGTGCGACAGAATTGATCACTCTGGCTTGTGCGATTTCTTCTGGGTGTGCGTCCGTGGTCACGTATGCACGGTCTCTGTCCCTTCTTCGCCTTGTAAACGTCAGGCAGAGTGAAAGGAATTTCAAAGTACTTTGTAAGTTTTGTTTACAAATTTAATTCAGTCGAATCTCGACCATCAGCCGAACCGGGTTCTAAAAGTTGGTTGGCCAGGCGGCCGCCAGGCCCTGGAGAGCGTCTCCTGGGGACGCAGGTGCCCAGGTCGTGCCGGGGCTGCCCGGCCGCCGGCCCGCGCATCACGGGCCTGTGCTCTGCGTTTAAAAAAGAAGAGAAATGCATCCAACTGAATGTAGCCTTAAAATTGCTTTGAGTTATGTCAGATACAAATGAAACTTGATTTTCTTCAGGGACCAGGGAGTGATACGGAAATACAGAGGCTCTTTAAAGCTTTGAAGGGGGACTTTCATGGTATCCATACCTGTCTATTAACTTCATTGTTGCTCTAGGACGAGTATATACTTCTAGAATAAAACATTTTTGCAAAGAACACAAGGGTAGAAACCCCCACATCTTTCCAAGTTGCCTCATTCCCCGCAGATAACCACGGGAAGTCTCCCCGAGAACGTCAGTGTGTGCGCACACTTCCGTTCACAGCACGCGTGCCCGACCCTGCCAGGCCGCCCTTCTTTTCCACTCTCTGTGCCCCCAGCTCTCCTCACCCCTCAGACTCCTTTTCCCTCCCTCTCACCTCCTTCTGCTCAAAACTCTTCCCCTGTCCCCTCCTGTCTTTTTTTCTCTCTTGCCTGCCTTCTTCGGGCCTGTCCTGGGGAGGGACTCCATCTCTCCCCAGGTGGCGGGTGCGGAAGGGGACAGAGAGACGGAGAAGCTCAGACCTGTCCTCCGTGGTCGGAGGGAGAAAGAACGGGGTCCCTTTGTGTCTCCTGTTCACCACTTGCATTTTTCATCCTACAGCGAGTTGTGGACATCTGCCCAAATCTGCTCCTGACTGTCTACCTCATTCTTTGTAATAGAGGCTCAGTATCTCGTTTCATGAACACACCCTAACGTGCGGACCAGCCCCTGTTGTTACCATGTGTTTATAATGTCAAACAGTGTTACAATTAACACCCGCACACCTGTGTGTGTGCCGGGGGCTGAATGTGTAGAGCAAAACCACGCGGCAAGTTTCTGTGTGCCGACTTACCCCCATCAAAAGTTCCGTTCCTTTTAAATGCAGATCACTGTCCCCATGTTGTGTGCCCATCCACCAAAACCTTTCTGTTTTGTCCAGGGAATCGAGACCGCATGACCTGATTTTTCTTTTATCCGATGTAAATTCACGTCAGAACAGTGAGGGCCTCCCCCTTTTCCTTGACCGAAGCCTGCTCCTGGGGAGGGAGATCGGCTGGTATGGATTTTGTGGTCCACAGGCCGCCTTTTTGTGATGGAGGATGGCGTTTCCAGGAGTCTCCTGGGGAAGAGGCGGAGGAATGAGCGCGGGTGTAGACACGGCGATGACGGAGGGGAAGAGGCCTGTGAAAGCCCCCCAAGGAGGGGAAGCCGGAAAGAGTGAGGTTTCAGCTCAGTCTTCTGTGTCTTGTTGCCAGGGGAAAAAGAATGGTGGGAAGAGTCGAAGGGACACGCAGTGGGTGGCTCGTGTATGTGACATGTTTACCAGGGAGGTGTTTGTAGCTCGGAGGCTGCTGGGAATTCCACAGACGCCACGCCAGTTTTCGTTTTGCCAGTAATTTTTAAGCTCTTCCCTCAGGAGCTTTGGCAGATAAGTTGATAAAATGTGAGGTTTCATCACTGCAGTACTTTCCAGGACTGTTTTCAAGCTGGCTTTTCTCCTGAAGACGCACAATTGCTCTTTTGTGCGGCTTGTCATCTGTCAATGTGACGGACCAGGGAGGGAGCCAACACAGCCCGCAGGTGCGCGTCACCACAGGGGACGTGGGGGGGTGGCGGGTGCCCCACCCACCCAGCAGCTTCCCGGGCCTGCCTTCGCCGTCCCCGCGCCGCTCTGTCACACACGTGCTGTCCCAGTCAGCACACCGGTCCGTGCAGCTCCTTCCTGGAGGTGGGGCTCCCTGGCTCTTGCGCCTGGTGCAGAGCTCGCTGCAGCCTTGCTCAGAGAGTCGGACCCGGGGAAGGAATCGGGCCTGTGCCCAGGACGGGACCTCCCGCGCTCTGTCTGCTCACCTTGCCGGCCATCTGCCTGCCCTGGTGTGCCTCACGAAATTTTCACGAGCCATTTCTCTGACCGCACTTTCTGGGGGGAAGCACAGAAATGAAAACCCTGCCCCTCCAGGGATCCGCTCCTCTTCCCTCGACCCCACGTCCCCTTCCTCGAGACGCCACCTGTGCAGGGCAGTTTCAGCCCACACCCTTGTCCCTTGTCCTTGACCAGGACAAGTTCCCTGTGACAGGGAACGAGGCTTTAGAAAGTCAGATGGCCGCAGGAACCGCAGTCTCGTCAGTGTCCAAGAGGCAGATGGTGTCCCTTTTGATTGGTGCCGGCTTGTAGGAGACGGGCCGGGATGCCACCTGAACAGCCGC